TTTTTCTTGTGTTCCTCTGCGAGAAATCCTTGGAGGGTTTCTACAGAAACCACATGGATGATGTTGCTACTATTAGTGCCTGGACATTCACCTGAAGCTTCAGAAATTGCTGTATTTAAGGGGATAACTGGTGCTCTGAGACATAGCTTTGATTCATTCATCACAAGATGTACGTGGCTTGGCAAATCTTTTGACACTTGGTCAAGAACATTAATGAATGTTTCTTCTGCTGCTTTCTCTGTGTACCAGTACTTCCATGGAAACAATGTTAAGGACAAAGATTTAGTTGCTGCACAAGCTTTGAGATCAATTTTGAAAATTCCAGATGTTGGGACCTCTTGCCATTGGTTGCCTGGTTCAGAATAACCACTCACAGATGTGAGACAGAAAGCACTGTCAGCCTCAGGACTGAACTGCCAAAGCAAACTACGACGACCAAAATAATCTCTGCCAAACCACAAACTGTGTCTAGATGCTTGGTAATAAATAAAAGACCAGGGACCCTGGAGTGATGAAAAGAGTGACAAAATGTCCTCTTTGCTCCTGCATAATGTGAGATGATGAAACATTACTTGAGTGTCATTGTCTAGATCTCCTACATGCACTCCATTGAAAACTTCTCCATTCCAAAGAAAAACATTGTTATTGGCATCTTCTAGAGGCTGAGGAGTCACCAGTCCCCTCAAGTGAAGTACATGGCCAGAAAACAGACATCTGTAAGAGAGATCTGACACAGTTTTTATCAACTGTTGGCTACTGTCTGGTCCTCTTCTTCTCAGACGGTGCAGTGTGTCTTCGCTGAGGAAATCAGGAATAGCACGTTGGCTACACAAAGTAACAACACAACAAATACCACACATTGTGACCTGGGATTCACATGAACTATTTCTTCATTTTAGCTTTTTCTGAATTGTCCATCTCCTGCTGTGCCTTCTTTAATTCATCTAATGTATCTGTGTAAGAGAGTATTATACAAATAATCAGTTTCATAAACAGAAAATAAGTAATTTTAATAAACTAAGAAATAAGTAATTCCAGCCACTTGTTCAATGAAATGCTAATTAACCAAAGTGCTGTGTTTGTACACCATCATTACTATAGCTCACTGTAGCTTATTCCTCTTAATTACACAAAGTTGATAATTTTTTTCTCCCAAAGAAAACCACGTTACCATAGGCCAAGTATTGCCTATCCTATCAGTATGACTTATATATTTGTAGTAAGAAAAGGGGATTGTTGATTAAAATGTCAACACTATTAACCCAAATCAAAGGAAAGAAAACAAAAGTAGCAATTGTTCAATACAGAAAATAAAATTTATACTTCTAAGTTTGTAAATTTCTAACATTTCTTCCACCATCACCTCTATTATCCATTCTCCTATCTTCATAATCCCATAGACCCATTCTTTCAACTAAAGATTTCTAACTTAATCTCCAGTTTAAACTTGTTATTTTCTTTCTCCTCATCCTGTGCAATTTTAATTTTTTTTAAGGGACACAGTGCTATACAGCTGCCCAAAGGGCACTGATAATAATGACTCCTCTGTGGAGCAGATGTTCTCCATCTTTATCTTCAGCACTTGCTCTTCTATCACATCCATATCAAGTGAAAACATTTTCACATTTATCCAGTCCAGAAAAACAAGCAGGTGTCTGAAGTTTATTTTGTATTTGACATACAGCTGTCAGGTTTTCATTTTAATATACAGCTTTTAAATATTCAATCATTTGATTTACTTTGACACTGCAAACTTACTTTTGCATTGAGACAGTGTTTCTGTTCGGTCCACAAGGAAGAATATGTTGCTGTTGGGTTGCTGCTTATAAACTCTCTGCAAAACAAAAACCACGCTTTAAGTGGTTTGTTTCTGCAAAACAAAACCAGGTATTAAGTCACAGCAACAGACTGTGAACCACACTGCAGCAGAAGCTGGTGTGGGTCTACCAAGATAAGCCTTCACTTTAATGCCAGAAATACAAGTTGTGCCCTAAAAACACCAACATTCTAATGCTGTACCATCAAAAACATTTAAGGATCAACCCATGACTATTCTGCATTTCTCTTTTCTAATTTAAACACGTGCATAGAAAAAGTAAGTATACCTCACAAAGTCTTTTGATCGACTCAAACATCTCACTGAAATAACTCAGATACTGCACAAGGGTACAGAACCAAATCATTTGCAGGACAAGTTATTGTGAGGACAGCAGACCACATGTGTATTAAAATCTGTATTAAAACAAATTAAAGACAGCATGCTCTGGTTTTGTTTTCCCTCTTGTCTCTATGCTTATTTCTCCTCTAAAACAAAACAGTCAAAAGCAAATTTGTAAATACTTACCCTGTTCTTCTTCAAATTAGAAAGCTCATCTACTACAACCTTCTGCTCTTTAATCTGAAAGATGAAAGATGCCCTTTAATTATTAAAAATAAACCACTGTGTTATAATCCTAGTGGTGAACATTCTTACCAATATTTTAAGACAGCTACATGCATATATAGCTGCTGTTCTCCAAATGGACCACTGAAGACAAAGTAAATACAAAAATGAAATACTTAAAGTAACTGCTCTAGAAACAGGTTATCTTGCATCCACTGGTATTTCTCCTCCCCCCAAAAGCAATTGTTACTGGGAAGCCAGAGTACCTGTAGCTATTTATTATCAGAGAGCACATTTTTCTCCCCCAGAAGAAAAGAAAACATGTACACAACTAATAAAACATCAAATAACTTTAGAAAACAAATTTAGCATAATATCGAGAATACACTTTATAATCACAGGTATGCTCCAGATTCAAAATGCAATTAATGAAAATCCAAATACACTAAAACTGTATTAAGAACAATGGGAGCCCTTCTCTTGCTCTGGATTTTTGCATTAACTTCCTTAGTGGGATTTTCCACTCTATGCTGCACTGACAGATGTGGCAGGTTTTCCCATTTTCTTTTATGACAGCTCTGAATGGCAAAAAGCAATAAGAAGGACTGTCATAAAAGCCAAAAACTGGAACAAAATCTGGTCAGAGGACACAACGGTTTTTGTTAGAAGCAAACTATACGGATTGAGGGTTTTTTCCTTTGTGTCTCCTGGAATTGGTGGCACAGTAGGAAGCTACTGCAGAGGGACGTTACCCAAACTGAATATGGCACACTGAAAGTACCACTTCTCCAGCAGCTACACCAACAGGCAAAACAGCACTGCCATCCTTAGCTAAGGACTAAACCATCAACCTGCAGCTCTGTTATGTCCCAGCTTTGTAGCTTCCCAGGCAATCAAAAACACTACTGGCTCTATACATTATGGCCATTCAGAAGTCATTTTTTTACAGAATCATAGAATGTTAAAGGGTTGGAATGGACATTAAAAACCTGCTACGGGCAGGGACACTCCCCACTAGGCCAGGTTGCTCAGAGCCCTGTCCAACCCGGTTTTGAACACTACCAGGGTTGTGCCAACCACAGCCTCCGTGGGCAACCTGTGCCAGTGTCTCACCACCCTCACAGTAAGGAATTTCTTCCTAATATCTAACCTAGAGTTTCCCTCTTTCCATTTGTACCCATTACTTCTTGTCCTATCACTACAGTTCCTGATGGAGAGCCCTTCTCTGGCTTCCCTGTAGGCCCCTTCAGATACTGGAAGGCTGTAATGAGCTTTTTTTTGAGGGTAAGCAGTTTCATGGGGCTTGATAGATTCCATAGTGGGCACCAGAGAAGAGGGAGTGAATTCATAGGAGCACCAAGCTCTGCAGCTGGAATCTCTTGGGACTTTTTGGGCAGGTAAGGATGAAGTTGGTACTACAGAGAAACCATATGGGGAAGCCATATGAGAAGCAGCTGAGGGCACTTGGTCTGTTCAGCCTGGAGGAGACATAGGGGAGACCCCACTGCAGCTACAGCTTCCTCGGGAGGGGAAGAGGAGGGGCAGGCACTGAGTTCTGCTCTGTGGGGACCAGTGACAGGACCCGAGGGAATGGTCTGAACCTGTGTCAGGGGAGGTTTAGATGGACATTAGAAAGAGATTCTTCCCCCAGAGGGTGGTCGGGCACTGAACAGGCTCCCCAGGGCAGTGGGCACAGCACCAAGGCTGACAGAATTCAAGGAGTGTTTGGATGATACTCTCGGGCACATGGTGTGACTCTTCGGGATGGTCCTGTGCAGGGCCAGGAGTTGGACTCTGATGATCCTTGTGGGATCCCTCCAACTCACGAGATTCTGTGATTCTATGAGAAAACCCTCACTGCGCCTCACCTAACACTTCGATCTCAGCTCGGAGCAGAAGGACCCAACGTGACAACCCGAGAAGCTTCCAGCGAGGTGACACGGGCTGGCTACACGCGAGCGGGGGGCGCTCCCGAGGCCCGACAGCGAACAGCGCCGGGCACAGATCCCGGCAGCCCTCGGCAGCCCCCGCCCTCCCTCTCCCTCAGGGCTGCTCGCCACCGGGGCGACCGGTTCCGGCTCCCCGCAGGACAGGCTCACCTGCCGGCTCAGTCCTCCCTGTGGCGCCGCGCCGCGCTCTCCCCGTTCCTGCCTGTCCGCGGCAGCGGGCCCGACATCCCCCTGGCGCGGCACGGGGCCGCTCACACCGACAGCGGCGACAGCCGGCGAACAGCGGCGACAGCTGGCGACAGCGTCGAACAGCGACGACAGCGGCGACGGCTCCCCACACACTCGGACCCCGGCGCGCGCGGCCGGTCCCGACACAGCGCCGGCGCGGGAAGGCGGTGGCCGCGCAAGAAACAGCCAATCAGCGGGCGCGCCCCGAGCACGCGCGGCCCGGGCGGCGCGCCGCTGGCAGGATCCCTGAGGCGCTCGCCGCGCCCCCCAGCCGGTACGCGGTCCTCCCGCGCTCGGGACAGACATCCACGGGAGTTCGTGTCACACCGCTTGTCCGAACTGGGGGCTCGGACAGGCCGAATGTGGGAAGTATGTGTGGAATTGATGGCTTTGGGTGAAAACTGTGTCCCTTGTGGAGCGCGAGGGAACACCCGGAAGAGGAAAGGAACGGCTCGGCGTGGTGTGACCCCGGGCTGATCCCGCCTCTCGAACACCTTTAGGCGGTTTGCTTAAAGGTATTCCAGGGGAGATATGAATGATATATTATTTACAGATATTAGCATCATATGTTTCATTATGTTCATCATTATATGTTCCTGCAAGGAAGACGGAGAGGGACTTTTTATGTGGACGTGTAGTGACAGGACAAGGGGAACGGCTTCAAACTGACAGAGGGCAGATTTAAAGTGGATATTAGGAGGAAATCTTCCCTTGGAGGGTGATGAGACACTGGCACAGGTTGCCCAGAGAAGCTGTGGATGCCCCATCCCTGGCAGTGTTCAAGGCCAGGCTGGATGAAGTTCTGAGGAACCTGGGATAGTGGGAGGTGTCCCTGCCCATGGCAAGGAGGTTGGAACGAGATGGTCTTTAAGCTCCCTTCCAACCCAAACCAGACACCTGATTTTATTATTGTATAAGGTGGATGTTTCAGGCCTAGGATGGCCTTAACATTTCTCTGCCTCTTTCACTCTACTGTATCACAGTGATGCATCTCTCTTCCTGTCTTTATAAGCACGTCATGGGACAAGTTTAAGTGACAGAGCAACAATAGCAGGACAAATACTATTATCATGATTCACTATCCTAAATAAATTTAGGTTGAGAAATGGTATCAGGAGCCAATTACTGTGACCAGAAGGTTTTGAAAATATCTTCCCATCGCACCAATGAGGAGTAAAAAATTAAGAAATTGGCTTACTTACGAAAAGAATTACATGTTCTAATCACTAAATCAACTGGTGAATGAATGCATATCTCAGGAAATCAGAAGTCTGCTGATTTGCACACAAAATAGATTATAGATTTGTTAATGAGTACCAGGGGATATCAGTGGGGAGTTTTGGGTAAGAGTTTGTCAAGGTAGCTAATGCAGGAACATTCCAGTTGGGGTTTTTGTCTCATTTTTATCCCTTCTTTTTAAACATTGTTGTATAATTATTCTAAACACTCAAGAGTAATTCCAAATTTACAGACTGCTACCGATAGCTCAGTTGTAGGATTTTATGAGATATCTATCCCAAGTCCTTGTGCCAAAACTGCAGTGCAAATATAGTTCAAATCTTGATCAATTATTTGAAAATATTTGCTACTTTCATAAGTGGTGTAGGAGTGTTGACTTTTGCTGCTTTGTGGCTCACATAAGCATACGTATTATATATTTTGATAATTCTTAGAGCTTGTGGCAAGATTATACCTTGTTTTGGTGGTATCCACGAGCTTGGTTGGAATGTCTGTGATGTTGATTGAAATTTTTGACAGCGGCTTAGGGAGAATAAAGATTTTGGCTCCTAGTAGAAGCATGAAAAAAGACAATTTGGCTATAAGAATATTTGACAATACAGTAACTTTGCTTATTTGCCTTTAACAGAAAGAGAAACTGCAGTTACATCTTCAGAAAAGGTCAACTTTGCTCTTCCCTCCACCTGCAACCACACACTTGTGCCTCCAGCCTTGCATGACCATGGCTGTGTATGAGACTGTGTGGTGGGACAGGTCAGGGAGCTGATCCTTTTTTCTCTGCAGAGCACCAGTGCTTGTGTGATTCTGGCACTCCCAAAAAGCAGAAGAACTGAAGCTGCTGGGAAATTGTTGCCCAGGGGCTGGAGTGGTTCTGAGGCTTGTCCTTCAAATTCTAGAGGAAATACACATATCTGGGTCACACAGAACAGTTCTGGTGATATTGTTCAGTGTGCTTTGTAGTTTGTCACTCCTGTTCTGTTGAGTAACTTGTTTAATCTGAGTAACTCCCAACCCTCTGCTGCCTGAGTGTTTTATTTGCTGCTGATATGTTACAAAGGTTGATGATCAAGTAACCCAGTAGTCAAAGTATAATGTCTGTAATGATTATCCTTCCTATGTTCAGTAATAAATGCAGTTAATGTTTATTAATCAAAAATCCATCACTCAGTTTTATTGATTTCTTCAGGAGAGTGCTGATAATGGTCTTGAGGCATAACAGCAAATGTGGAATGTTTTCAGCTTCTGGTCTTACCACAGATTGGTGATTCTTCTACTGATATGGAATGGGCTTTTGATAAGTCCTTTTTAGAATGAATGGATTCCTGCAGCAAGATCACTCCTGAAATTACAGTCGTACTGGATACATCTCTGGTCAATCTGCTTATGTCTGTGCTCTTGTGCCAGCTCTGGTGTTCTGAACTATTTTTCTTTTTACTGCCATAAAACTACCTTTTTTGAGATTAACGATGCCTGATGCAATGTTAATAAAGGATCAAGGAATATTTCAAGTCTTTTAAAGGCCTCACCTTTTCAGCATCTGGCATCTTTAAAAATATATAAAATAGCACAAATTGCCCAACAACCAGTGTAAACAGTTACAAAACAGTCACCAGTGCCAGAAAGTATTTGAAGGTGCTGTCACCTGTGAGCAAACACACGGCCAGAACGGTTTCCTCAAATAACCAAGTGCAAGCTCTGAAAGGCGGCTTTTAAAAGCACACTGAAAATGTGAGGCCATCCTTCTGAAAAACACCACGAGTCCTGAAGATCTCTTTTCAGGCTGTGGTCCATCCATTTGTGTCAGATGACTTCACAGACGTGAGAGCTACAGGGTAGGACTGATGTTGCCTTTGAGGCTTGGCAGTGCCAGGTTCCCGTTCTTTGCCGCGGTTCTGTACCTCAGCTCCTGCTCGGTAACATGTTAAACAACAACAACCTGGTTGTGTGTTCAAATCTGAGCCATGGGCTCGGCTGTAAGTGACTGTAGTCTGAGGAAACCTGCCGAGCTTTAGAAGGACCACTCACAGAGGTCCCTGGAACGGAGCAGTACCAGGACAATTGTAGCTCTAACACTGGCCACAAGGGAGCAAGCCGGAACTGTGCTGGCTGCTCAGAGACAGTCCGAGAAACAATGGAGCCAGGGATGTAACACAGGTGGATGAGGTCAATGGAAGGGGAGAGCACAGTTAAAGGTTATTTGAATTTGTGTAGGTTTTTGCCTGTTTTGGAACATTTTCAGTTTCTGATCCTGGGTTGTTTTGTATCCAGGCGTTGTTACATCAGAATCCACGTGAGCAGATTCTGAGATGTAACATCCATCCCTGTTAATTTCTCAGCTGAACCTATATTTTAATAATTTGCTAACTCATACTGGTCTAAGAAAACTTGAATCGTTGAAATTAGTTGGGTTTACTTTATGGTAATCCTTCTGCTAATTTGTCTGATACGTTAGGATTTGGAGGGAGTTAGGTTAATTTACACAGCCAGGGATTTGTATCTGTGTCCTGGAATCTGGGTAAAGTTGTGGTTTGTTTTCTTAGGTTAAGTATCTAGATTTTCAATTGCACAAGAAACCTTCCAAACCCTATAATCATTCTACTTTAAAAGTCCTGTCACTGCAAGTAAAACAAGAAGTCTGAGCACTTTTAGGAGCTTGAAGTACAATCATTTTTTTCGGCATTCAGTTCTGATACACTATTAAAGCAACCTGAGAACTCCTTCGCACAAAACTTCTGCGTGGGTCACACACATAAAATTCTTAATTTTCTAATTAAAAGCAGAATTTCATCACTTTCACATGGACCATCTCAAGGCTCTTGTCAAAATAGCTGAGGACTATCATCAGTCTCTCATAAGTTTTTACAATCTGATTGCATTCCTTAAAGCTTCTAAAAGTGCTGAACCAAGCAGCTTGTCTGTAAAATACTCCCATCAGTCTTTCCTCTGGTGATGAGGAGAGGATTTAAAAATAAACTTTTCCAAGTCCACTCTGTGTTCTTCAATGTAAATCTGAAGTAACTCTAATGAATACAGGAGCCTTTCTCCAGGTCCTGTGTTGCAGTAGATGAGAAGAGTTTGACCTTTAATTTTCATAATTTTTCCTCCCTTAGTGCAGAACAACTTGTGCACTTTGTTAAAGTGTAAAAGAACGTTAAGTTCACATCAATGGTAGTTTCACTTAGAAAAGTAGAACTAAAAGATTTGGGGATTTGTCTCTTGTTTATGAACTCCCTTTTGATATAGAGACTTTATAACCTGGCAGGGCAGTCCCTCACAGGCTTTTGAACCCATGCACACATTTACTGTAGTAACAGTCTAGTTTGAATATGGGATCAGATTTCCAGGTACATATTTTGGGCAGTGAATGTTCAGAGATCTTAAAAAATCAAATGCTCTGTCTTACAACAACGAACATTTTGTTTGCAGTGTGAAGATGGAAGGCTGGTGCCTGGATGCTGGAAGCTCTTCTGTTGATGCCACCAAAGAGCAAGGATATGAGAGGCTTAGAACTGCTCAGAGACACTGGAGGGACTGATGCCTGCTTTGCTTTACTTTGGATTGGGCATCTTGATACAAATCAGATCAGTGCTAGGGAGAAAAGGAAAAGAGAATGGCACCAAAAACACTCTGAGTGAAGATCAGCCTGCCCAGTTAGTCTTCTTTTTGGAAGCTGAGCTAGGAAGCCTGGAGAAGACTAGAGATAATTATGTGCTTGCTTCTCTTTCTTGTTGGGAGTGCCTCCCTGACAGTAAGTATTGTGTTTAATACTGTGTACAACTGATATTTTTTTGAAGATAAAGCACAGAGATTAGATTGCTTTGAAGGAGGAGGCAGGCCTGAGCAGGATGGGTTATTAAAGTATGGGTCTCCTGGAATCAGGGACTTAGTCATTTCAGCTGAGACAGCTACAGTCCCATAAAGCATGTTCCACAGACACCAAATGGACCTGCCTAAGTGTGAGCTTGAGCAGACCAGAACATGTCTGAGTAGGCTGGAGAAAAGGGAAATGCATAATAAGTTTGTAAGACTCTCTAAGGCAAGAGTGAAGGTTCATTCTGAGACACCTTGCTGGATTAGGACCTTGCCTGGATTGTTTTATTAAGTGTGCTGCTCTCATGTGCTTTTTGTGCCTTTGTTCTCATTGTCATATACATTTGGACTTGGCTCTTGCTAGTGAGTAAATATAGTACCTTGGACACCAAGGATAGAGATTGTTTTTCCATATTTGGAGAGGGGAGTTATTTGAAAGGCAACTCTTGGGTTTTCAAGTTCTAATGTGCCAGAGGCCATGCTATCAAATGGCTTGTTGGGTTTCACTTATTTTTAAACTTCATTGTTTCTGTCTTAGGCTACTGTGAGGGCTTTCCATTTACCCCATTACCCATTGTGATTATTCCTTTCTAGCTTTTTTTTTCCTTCTTTTTTTATCTCTGCTTGAAGCTTTTGTACAAATCAACCTGCACACATGGCCAAAACCTGATACCCAGATAACTGAATACTTACTAGAACTTTCAGTCTTGAGGGTTATACTTGTTGACCATCCTTTTATGATACTTAGTGCTTTAAGGGTCCACAGAACTCAAAATGCCTGACTGAGATAGATGAACACAGAGAGGAAACCTGGGTGAGCTCTGACAAAAAAGCTCACAGAAAACATTTCATAAAACGTTTATTTTAACTCATCACAGAACAAAAACATTTCTGTTTGCCATGTTGACATAAAACCTGAGGAAAGGCAAAATTCACTGGTTACAAGTTCCTGTGCCTTAAGTTTTACTATGATTGTCATAGTATTTGAAGTCTAAACATCACTGGGATTTAACTGCTCTCCCCAGCTATCCTCCTGTGAACACCATCATTGATCCTATACTCTTTCCTACATTTAGCACACTTCTTGAAGTAATTACAGCTGTTGGAATTAAGGAAGAAGGATGTATAGTAGTACAAAAGAGTGGGCAATAACTACTGTGAGGTGTAAGAACCTCATGTTTTATGCCCTCAAAAGGTTTCCTTCTCTTCCAAGGCAGAACCACTAGAAACATAGGAACCAGCAATGTAATTGTTGATAGGCTTTGAATGTTTGCCTTATCTGTATCTCATACAGTAACTGAAAATGCACTAATTTGTCTACCTTCCTAGTATTCACAGTGCTGATTTTTTAAAATGTTAATTCATCGTTTGCAGCAAGAATAACCACAAGGGAGGCAGAGGTATCATTGCATAAGTCCTGGCATGTATTTTAGTTGTTGAATATCTATCAAAACATTGCCCATGGCTCTGAATTTACCAGTAGCTTAGGTAATAGAATAAAGGTCTTTCTGCCAGTGACATACATTATCATATGTGACAGATAAATCATACAGTTTTGTAACACTGAACATTCTAGTAACATCCTTTTTGTAAATATTCTGACATTTCTCTAAAGAAAGGTACTGGTATTCAGCACTTCTGAAATCAGGGCACTGTAGTAGCTGTCTGGAAAACAAAACAACCCAAAGCTAACATCAGATGCCTGTAAGTTAATGTCTCAGCCTACACACAATGTAGGTTCAGTTAATACTGTTAAAGCAAAATTTTAAAACCTTTTTACAAAGAATGTGAGAGTATCAGGGTAACTTGACAGACCTAAACTCAGAAGTAGTGACCTTGGTTAGCAGCGGAAGTCAGAAATAAGAATACTGAATTTAGAATAAGCAACCCTTGCCAAATTTTCCTTACAGTCACAACAGGTTGAAGTGACAGTTCTGTCAGCATCAGTGTACATGGCATAAAGGAGGAAAATGTGGAGTGGCCAGTATGAAACTAAACATATGGAGCATGTGAAACTAAACTATGGAGCCAGTCCTGGTGAAATTGCAAGCAACATGAGCAAGAGGTGACCACATTTGATTCCCTCCAGACCAGAACAAAAATAGAGGCATGACAATGAATTATAATGAAGGAACATACATTTCTAGAATTATTCCAGTCCAAAAGGATGAAAGTTCTCTCTAAAAAAGGGAAAACAGGCAATGGTTTTTCATTTCCTTTGTATCTTCTTAGCCTTCTCTGCTGGTTTCCATCCTCAATGAAATGCTTATAAATGATTATCAAGGAGATAATGAATGATCAAAATCCTCTTATGAACAGTGTTCAGAGCTCAAAAGACAATTCAAAATTTAAAGCAACCGTTAGACACAGAGAAGGGTTAAGATTTGACTGCAGAGGTTCTTGACCACTCTGTACCAGTAGGAAAAAAACCCCACATTCAAGCCCCTGAGCAGTAGTGTCAGAGATTGTGTTTAGCTTATTGGTGAGCAGAGTTTAAGTGATAAATCTGTCACAACTGTTATAGAATTTATACAGTAACCAGCAAAATTAAAGCAGAGCAGACAGGTTTGGCCAATACCTGCTGAAAAGGCCTCATAGCCCTTGCAGCTATCAGATTTACTCTATTAGTTATACACCTACTGCAGAAATTACATTAAGATATCTGATTAAAAATTGTATTAATTAGGAGGAGTTAAAAATCAGAGGAAGGCAATTATTGCTCTTTCTTGTTTTTCATTTTACTTTTTATCTGATTTATTCAATTGATGTTTAATCCTCTATTAAATAAGTCCACTATATAGCCCAGTATGGATTGTCTGCTACTGAAATGGGTGCAACAGTTCCTCAACAGTGCATAGAACTATTGAAAATATGTTTGGCTAAGAAATGAAAGCTCTAGCATTCAGTTACTGTGCATGTAACTTACTTGTTTTCTGTGTTTATTAAGTGTTGCCAGGAGACATTGCCAGGCTTATTTTCAGTAATGCACTAGACTAGACTCCTGCAGACTGTATGATTCCTCCTTTAGTGCTCTAGCTTTATTTTTTTTTAATGAAAGAGTTAACAGCTAACACCTTGGAGAATAAAATATATATTTGAATGCCTGAAAAATTGGAAAATTTTGTTCATACATGACATTGGGAAATGAAATGCATTTCTCATTCTGAGTAAGGATTGTAAGAGGATTTATTTTTTGTTTGTTATAGTAGTTGGTATTTGAACTGTAATTCAAGCCATTATCATCTTATTATATAAGAACCTGGACATGCAATCTGCATCTTTCTTGTTTAAATCAACAGTAGTCCACAAAGCCAAATTCTGCTGCCTTCCTCTTGTAGATAACTTCAATGACTGTTGATTGCAAAGCAAGAGGAGCTGGTGAAGAACTTTTTGGGTGACTGCATTCTTCTTGTGGGGAATATAAGCAGCACAGTCCTGAAAGTCTTGCTGCTGGAGGATTTTCATTAGCTCTAATGGAACTTAATGTCTCATTTGTATAAATTTAAATGTGTGCAAGTTTGTGTGTGAGTACTGAAATACAAATTTATATCTATACACATAAGCATACTGTATTAGATAATAATCCTAGATATTCTACTTATTGTTGATAGCATTTCTTTATATTGTAGAATTCCGTATTTCTTAAGTATGTATCTGTCAAATAAAGACAAATAAGGAAGTTAAGTGATACTAAGCACTTAAAAAAAACATAAAAACAAACAATTAAAAAAAAGACTTCAGGAGAACAGGAGGAATTATAAGTAGTTTTAGCTTAAAAGATGCTGCTCTTGCTCCACTTCTGATCTGTGTTGCCTACTGATACACAATTTTCTCTTAAACTTGATGACCTCTGAGGATGCCAGATGCTGTTTTGAAAAGGATATTTAAATCATCTTGGATACCTCAACTAATGTTTTTTCAAGTTTGCAGAAGTCATTAAAACACAGACTCAGGTGAATTAAAACACTCATATGAACAGAACAGCAAAGGGGGCAGTTTCCATACAACATGTAGTGAATCCATCCTAAACATGCATCTGGGATCACTGCAGTTTCCTGTTTTCTTTCAGGCACTACTCCATTCCAAAACCATGCAGAATGTCTTAGTATTTACATTGGTAAGCATGTTCAGTGTTCAGTGTATACCTCAATATGTTATCTTGATAATATACTCAGTGTTATTCAATCTGCTTTTAGATTTTCAAAGCTGAAGGTATTTTTGTTTGACAAGGCTGCATCGTGCACACAGCTGATGAAGAAAGCTGAAGATTTGACTCCAGTTACTGGACAATTCAGTTTTTAGCCATTGCAAAGTTGTGAGTGTCTCATATTCTGATGCTGAGGACAAAGCTGATTACTGATGATAAGGGTTTTGTGTTCTAACATGCAGATAGGGAAGTGATTTGAGGGAGTGGGGGAAGAGAAGGTTTGTAGTATTCAGCCTCTTCCCCACAGAGCTTCTAATGACAGGTTACACCATCTACTCTGCTGACATTGCTAGCCCTATGCAGAACATAAATGAGGAAATACTTGCTACATGATTGGCAAGATGATTGCTAACAGTGTTGACAGTAATTATCTGTCTGATCTAACACTTCACTGGTAGTGTATGTTGGATGTGTGGGAGAATTTATTTACAACTGTATCAGACCTGGAAAAATGGTTGAATGAGACATCCAAATAGTAGGGATTGTTGCCTCTTTTAATTTTAATTTTATAGCAGAAAAAGAACTGATGGGTGCTGGGATCGTAATATATTTAGAACTGAAAATATTCGTATTGCACACGGTGGGTGAAATGCAATGCCACAGAAATTCCTAGTTTTAAAACACTGATTTTTTTTTAAATGCTGATTTTTTTTTTCAGACTAATTTTCTGAGCTCTAATGATATTTTTTGTCATAGGGCACAGTAGAATAAGGAGAACAAAATTTCATGCTTCATTAGGTGTCAGAAAGGAACTGATTCAAGCCCCTCAGTCTCCTCCTGTACTGGTGTGTGCAAAAGCAACAGTGAGTTGCACATCTGCTGAATCTGCTCTGTAGTACTGGCTGCTGCAGAGCAAGGCCAAAATGTCAGGCACTTAGATAAATGCAGTGGATCAAATGCTGCAGGATCAAATGTTCATTTTAAGAAATCAACAGCAACAACACAATGGCACAGTATCTTGTGCTAGCTGTTAAGTATTAAAACAATTTCACAAATACCAGTGCAATCAGACTTGTCTTGTATCAGAAGATAGGCAATTGGCAATGCTAAGCTTTGGTTATCATCTTCAATTTTGAGGCTTCCACTATGCTAATTAGCACGATTAATTAAAGATAACTGAATTCCCTGAAGTTCTCTGCATTTTTATTTCAGCATTAGAACATTTTTGTTTGTTTGTTTTTCCACTGAAGCATTTGCTACAGTTTTTGCTGAGAGATACAACTAAAAGCAATTCTCCTTAGGTATTAATACAATTAATTTTTAATGATTTTCTAACTAGTTAATCTTTAAAAGTGAGACTGTAGCATAGATGTAGACAGTAAATAGGTCTTTTTGCAAGGGTTTGTTTATTAAATATCTGTCAATTTCTGATTAGCAGAATAGGTGGCATTTGTCTTCAAATGACCTCATCCATAAGAAAATGATTTAGCAGCATTTCACTATTTAATTCTTTATAGTTTGCTTCTCATCAAACAGAGTGTCCTGTGTGTTTGGATCAAGTAGTTCTTACTGCCTGTGGAGCATCTTCTCTGTGATCCAATAGCAGGCAAAATATTTCTGGTAAACTCAGCAGCTGAGATGAACAGGCTGAGGATATTTTTATTTCTTCCATATGTTATTGTCATTTTATCTTAGACTGTACTTTTAGTTCTTCATATTTGAAAGTCATTAAGCAGGCTTCCTGATTGACTTTAGTGCCGTTGCTTCATGTGTTTATTTGCCTATTGTTTAATTGTAAAATAAAACTTTACCTCTGAGAATTTTCATAAATCCTCACCCACTCTGCAAAAGGTATGAAGTAATCTCCATTTCCTGGCCTGAATTATTGCATAACACCGCAGTGCACAGCGGTGGGACAGCTGCAACATCCTGACTGAAAATTCTGCATTGTGTCTGAGGAGGGAGTGTGGTGTAATCAGGCCAATATTCTGCCCTTGAGCACTCTGCAGTGTCCACAGAATTATCTAAAAAACACCAACTTGGGACAGGGAGGATTATTAATTGGAGGAACTCTCCTGGGTTACTCAGCCAGGTTTAGAGTGTACGTCATGAAAGGCTCTTACTAGGCAGTAGCTTTATCTAGCAAGGTGTTTTCCTCCAAATAGAGATTTGATGAAAGACTAGAGTGCCACACCTCTGTGCATAGGTGTGGGAAGAACATTTATCATTGCTTTGTTTGGGACCCAAATGACGTTGCTGATTTTTAATTTGCTGAGGTGCTGGGCAGCCTCACCTCTGCCTCAGAAGGCCCATTGGCATACCTCAAAATGAATAAAAATCCATATCATGGAGTATCTTGCTGTCCTTTTCTATCTCCCTGACTACTTAAATACTTCTTCCATTGCAGTTGCTCTTATTTTGGCTCCCTGCAGTTCTCAGGGTGCAAAATATGCATCCAGTTACTCCAGTTACTGCCAGTTACTGTTTTGTTGATTATTTTGGCAGGAATGCTTGTACAGCTGCTTCTTGTCCTTCACAAAACATCCCTGGGGATTGAAATCCTTGTTCTGATGACAGTGAGAATGTTTTCAGATTGTCCTGAAGTCAGGTGGATGCTCCTAAAATCACTAGACTTCAGCCTTTTAGCCTACAGAACTTCAATATAACAGCTGTGAGACTGTTCATAACATGACAGTGCCATCAGCTAATGCTGTACGACCCCCTGAACAAGGATGGGGGGTTAAGTTTATAGCACAGCATCATCTTCCTTGGGTTTTATTTTCATCATAATGCCACAGCAATTCCAGGGTGCCACTATCAATGAGGATGAAGCAGGAACAGATAGAGGAGATATCTGGCAACTGGAAGCATTAATTAATTTCTCAGATGAGATGGAAGAAGATGCAGATGAGAACAGTGGAGCAGTGGAGCAGGTTGTCCAGGGATGTTTTGCAGTCTCCAGCCTTGGAGGTTTTCAAGACCTAACTGGATAAACCTTTGAGTAACTTTATCTCATTGCTGACCTTGCTTGGAGCAGGATATTAGACAAGAGACCTTCTGACCTCTTCTCCAGCATGAATTGTCCTAGTATTCAAATCTTTGAGATCAAAAAAAACTTGAAGGTGTCTAACAACTCACAAGGCCCATAAAACCTACCACAATGTGGCCTGATGTTCAACTGCAACATCTTCCTTTAATCAGTGTCCCTTCTTCCCAGTGAGCCTGCTCACATCTGCCTCTGTGAGATGATCTGTATCTGTGGGGGATGCTACCTAAACCCCATTTCCCATATTCACTGCTCTGCCACAGACTCCAATACAAAGATTGTACTTAGCAGTTGTCCCCAAGGCTGCAACAGAACTTCTGTTGAACTTGTGTGAAGTAACACTGCAGAGAGGAGAGAACAAGGACAGTATACACCATCTGCACTGTATTTGAAGGAAGCCTTATTTTCTTGTGCATGTTCAGGTACTGAAGTTAATTTCCTTACTTCTTTCATGCTGACAGTACTACTGTGTGTGATCAGTTAATCTGTTTTCCATCTTTCATGCTTTTATCACACTGTTTGCAATAGAAAAAACTTTCTGACCTGGCCAGTCAAGCCACTTTACTCCACTTTACTCCAGTTCTTTAATTTCCCTTTTTTTCTAACACCTAAAATTGCATCTTGCATTTCAGATTTGACTTTTACACATCCTGCTGTCCCTCTTGTCCCCTCTGTTCAGCAGATAAGCCTTTGCTCCTGCAGCTCCGTGCTTTGCTGTACTGCTGCACAGCCCCTGCTCTAACGGCTTCACTTTATCTCTCAATTCATGTGCAGATTGCTCACCAGAAAGCTGTGGCACATCAGAAAGAACATGGAAAGCACAGTGGGAAGGCACGGAGAGGGCTATGAAGGGAAAGTGATGTCTGCCTGAACTTAGCACCTCTTTGTTCACTGCATAAGGATCTTCTTTCCTTGGGAGAACTATGGTATGGTCAGACACACTGCATATTAACTAGTCAGTAGTTTTCAGTGTGACAAGCTCCTGTGCTGTTAGCCAGTTTTTTATAAACAAACATATGAATAAATAAATATAAAAATGGTGTTTGAATTACCCAATACTTAGCTTTGTCCAACTGCTTTGTTTCCTGAAGAGCATCCAGTACTGTGGACAGTGTGGAAACATGTTTTAGATGTTAACAGTGTGACTCCTCCTCACAAAGAACAAATCATGACACAT